TATTACCTATTTTTAATATTACAAACTTAACAATAAATCGATAGACTTTTTAACTAGAATTTTTGGTTTACAAATAAAACGACTAATTTTGCGTTGGGATACGTTACGTTGCGTAAGTTCCTTGAGGTTTTCGGTTAGTTGAAGTTTTGGGAGACCTCACCTCTGTGTGGTTGCTCCTTGAAGTTGTATGGAACACTTCACCTTTGTGGGGTTACTCATTGGAGTTGTACAGGAGACCCCACCTCTGTGGAGCTGCTCCTTGGAGTTGTGTGGAAGACCTCACCTCTGTGGGATTTCTCCTATGCAGGTTTTTCTTAAGGGTGTTGTGATGCTGTCTTCGTTGCCAGTCTGATCAGAATACCACAATTTTCCTTTTCAGAAGCGATGGATTCGTTTATTTTTGGGGAATGTTACATTTACATCTTCACGCGGATTCTACTCTCCTTTTGTGTGTGCGCTTTAAGATTAAGATGTTCAAAAATCCTACTGACTGCGCCAGTTAAAGGCCGGTACTATTCCTTGTACTTTAAAAACAAAAACATTTGAATCCAATTTTGTTTGATATTGATTATTTATTGATTCGTTGTTAATTACACTTATTTTTTGGAGGGTTTTTAATTTGTTAAAAGGAATAGGAGTTACATCTTACGGAAAATAACAATACACTACGTACGTTAATTATTGACACGATAAGGAACCGACCTGGTCCTTTTGAAAGACTTTTTGTAATTCCTCGATTGTAATTATTAGTTGTTTAAAGATAACGAGCGTATCTGCTGATTAGTTAATAATAACGGATAGGGAAGGTATTGCCAGCCGTCTACCACAGATAATGTTACAATGTTAGCAATTTTGAATTGGTTAACTTATGACCATATAAAAATATATTGCTAAAAATTATCCCAAAAAATGCATATTCTAAAAATAAAAAAAGGTGGAAAAAGTTGACACCATTTGATTGAATTGTATGCTTTTTCTCTGCAAAATAACATGAATGTAATAGATCGTTCATATTGTCCGGATCTATATCTGTTTACAGTAAGCGGTCAGCTTGAGTTAAACGTTCAGTGTAAATTTTCCAGTTTTTTAAAAGAGTTAACTTCAAAACTGGCTTTTTATTGAAAAAAATACACATTCAATTATATCAGTAACAATACACCATGTGCGAACATTACACGATAGTAATTGGAACGTTTGAATTATAAAACAAAAATATGCCAGTCAACTGCAATAATAATTCTTATCGGTTTTAACTCTTGTTTATGACAAGTTTTACCTTTCTGTGTCATTATTTTATTCTCTAAATCTCGCTTTACCTTTTCCAATCTATATCGCGGTACTGTTTCGTTCGCGTTGTTTTAACTAAACGGTTTGAATAAATTTCTACGAAATCTTTACGTTTTATGTTTTCCCTATCTCAGTAATTTTGTTTATCATGTTCCTCTCTTTTTCTTACAATATTATATAAATTTTTAACTCTGTCGTATATTTCGCTTGTGTAGTTGAAATAAAATTTTGTCGTCAAAGACATAAATTAAGTCACTTGTTTCAAGGTGTCCGTACAAAAGTTCAATTTAAATTTGGTTTAGGCGTGAATCGACTTATTGTAAATAATGACTGCATTTTGGAAATTTTGATTCATAAGAATTTTATTCTTACTTGCATTAATTGTTCTTATTATCTCCAAAATTGTATTATGCACTCTCTCCATTATACCGTTGCTGTTCGGTGGAAAGGTGTTATTAAATGATGATCAATTCTGTGCTTGCGCATTAATTTTGCAATTGGGGATTCGGGGCATCTTATATTGTGCGAAAAAATTAACCAAAGTTTGTGCTGTCAGGTATATTCATTGGCATGAGTAATTCGTACATAAAATAGTTATTGCCGTTAAACACTTTTTTCCATTTCCCGAAGAAATGTCAACGTGTACTATTCCAAAAGGTTATTTGGGTGTAGTAGTTATTTTAAGTTTGTATTGAACTGGATATCGCTCATACTTTTGACCGTTTGACATATCCTACATTCATCTACAAACTTTTGGCTATATTTACTTAAATTAGTCCAAATGGCATTCGCAAAAGGTGCAAATGACCTTGGTCGCTGTTTTATACTGATCCTTTGGTTCCATTTCTATCTGGTGATATTCACTTTTAAAATGAAGTTTAGAAAAGTAATTGGAATCGCCTAGCAAATCTAAAATAGAAGCTATGTTGGGGATAGGATATTTATATTCTATTGTTTTACTGTTTAAATGCCAATACATCGCCTTGTTTATAAAATATGTGTCTAAACTGGTTATATAACTTTTCTATGTTGTACTTGTATTTGCCATTAAGATGGTCTAAATTAATCGGTGGTGATCCGGTGTCATCATTATAATTATTACTTGTGTCACGTTGTACTTTACATAAATCAATCTCATTAGGATTGAAGGTCCGTGCTTTAATTCGGTAGTTTTTATTTAAATTAATATTGTCGCCTACAAAAGGTACTTCGCAATAATAGTTATTTTGCGGTGGTTACTGTCTCTGGTATTAATAGGTGTCCTATACTTATTTTATCTCGGCATTAAAACTTCCTTTTTTATTAGGTATCGAAAATGTTCCTTTCCTAATTCTATTTTGAACTGGTTTATTTTGATATCTATACAATGGACATATTTCGCGTTTAAAGAAATTTTGCCTGTCTGATAATTAATAGATGATGCCATTTGTTCTAGGCACTGTGAACCTAATAATGCGTCGAATAGTGCGTGGAAATCTACAATGAAGAATTTTAAGAATTGATTTTCCTGAATTATGTCTATATTGACTGGCTGGTTATGAATTGTTTCCAAAGTTATGGTTTTATGAACAAAGTTTTCGTTTTGCCTGAATTCTAGAAAATAATCATTACGGGTTTCGTATTAATTAACTAATATGTTGCGCTTGTGTCAATTAATATTTTCAAAGGTGGACTATCTATTATTCATTACCCTGTATTAGGTAATGAACTGCTGTTACTTCTTAATTTTGTTCCGAGGCATGTTGCCGAAAATTTTCTATGTTCTTCATAGATTGATCGTGAGATGAAAAATCTACATCTTCGCAAGACAACTCAAAATTTTGGTAATCTCCTCATTCATTCTCTTGTGCTAAATCGCTGTCACTATTTAAAACATTCTCATCAGTTGAAACACTACATTCGTCTATCGCTATTGTAATCCTATTGTACGAAGTTATTACTACTAACCTGCGCTATCTTTGTAAAATTACATTCGGATTTCGCCACTTTCTGAATGCTGATGTTTGATAATTGTTAGTATTTCTGACCTGCGAATTAGAATTGTTCTGATAATTAGGAGCTCTATTTTGTGATGTATTATTGTTAATGCTATTTAATTTTACTTTCGCTGAGCTTTCAATTCTTCTTATTCAATATTTGCATTATTAACGCCAATTGATGGTTTTGCATAAAAATTTGACTGTTGTCTGTCATATCGAATAAATGGATTTGTTTTGTTCGGTAAATTGGGCGATCTTGGTAAATTTGGCAATCTACTAGGGTTATTATTTGGTTTAGGTTGTGTAAGTTTACTTAATGAAGGATTGTTAGGTAATGTAATTTAAAACAGTTGCTGTAGTTTGTGTCAATGTTTCGTGGTCTTCCAATGTGATTTGTAACTTAGAGGACAATTGTTGTACAATACGACTAATGCTGTTTACTCACTAATTATGTACTTTATGAATTTCATTTTACTGATCTGGTAATAACTCATCCTGTGTTATCTTAACATCTACTTTAGTTTGTGAATTCTTAACTCTCTGTATAAATACACTTAAAGACTTGTGTAGTTTAATTCTTAAAATTTTAAATAGGTGTGCCAAAATTTTCTTATCTGTAAAATCTCCAAATCTATTCTTTAACGTGGACTTAAGAATTGGCCAACTAACTAGGTCTGAACTGTAAGCTATAAACTCTCTATTAAAGTCTGGTCGNTAAGGTGGAATAGTTTTTGTAAAAAGAAATGTTCAAAATATAAACAATTTTTTTATATTATCGATGTAAAGCGCTGTTAAAACAACTGAAATATATTTTTTGTTAATTAACCATTGAAATATGAGATACGTCATAATCTTCTAATAACCGAAATATTTTTTCAATGATTGTACACTACGTATTAATAAGGCTAAAGATGGCAGTGAAAAATTTTTTGCTTGATGGTACAAGTATGAAGGGTTGTTCTAAAAAATTGACCATTAGTGCAATAGCAAATAATAGACATCGAAATAATGTAATTCAACCACACATATTTTGGTAAATGTTCGATGATTGATGCAGTTAAATATGAACATTAAATACTTGACAGTTATTCAAAAAGTACTATTACGAATTTAAAATTCAATATTGTTGTAAACGAGCACGAACACTACTCTCAATATGGCGTCAATTTGACGTCAACGCACTAGCCAGTATATTTCGGAACGAATCGATAGTATGGCGTCGATTCATGACATTATAAGCACTGGCCAGTATCTTGGGTTATATTTCGGAACACACCCCATACCTACTCGTGACCTTCGCAACAACTGGTACACAGTCAGGTCAATGTTAGGTATGTGATATTTATTAGTAGTGGCCTCTGCACAGTGCATTGAGAATGTACACGCGACATCGGAACAAATAAGGGTCTTCACTATAGCGATTGCCCTATGTTAATGTATATCACTGAGTGGTGCGCGCGATTCTCTTTCTATTTCTTTTTTCATGTACCTTCTTCTTCCTTAATTTTCTCGATGTACTAATCAGACATACTGTATAAGATATCAATATTTTTTATTTAAGACTGATTAAGAGTGACGTGTGACGATATACTGCACCTTACATAATGATATGTGTGACTAAATCAACTTGTTTCAATGTCTAGAATCTGTTATTGCCCAGCGTAGCATTCTTTAAGAACCACCCTGTATATACCTACATGTGTAAATGTATGCATGTATATATGTTAGGTGTACCTTGGCGGTTTTCCCGCTTTTTCTTTGCTTTGAGCGGTTCCTCTAGTGACTCTAAACCTGTTTCTGTATCTTCACGTTCGATCGAGATTTGACGTTGTAGCATTGTCTCTTTATTGTTAAGAGGCACTTGATTTTGAAGCGTGACACAACACATAGGTAGGTAAGTCATACATCATATGTATATCGAATATAGTTGAAAAGAAAGAGAATGACAAAAACCTATTCTACAGAAAGCTTTGACGCCACACAATCAGCCTCCGCGAACGAATTTCTCTGTTTTTATTTAACGTCTTTCTGACGTCGATACATCAATAACGGGCTTTTAAATATTTAAAATGTCCAAAATGGAAACTGACGATAAGAAAGCTCATGAATTTTATTAAGGTATAAAAATGTATTGTTTGATTATTTTTCCCGTGGAGTCTGATTGTCGAAAAATTGAAAAATAGAAATAAATTTAGAAAAGACCCGGTTACATTTAAAGCAAAGAAAGATAAGAGAAAATTGTGGATTTATACAGAGTGACTCACCTTCGTTCACCTGCGACGTAACAAATGTTTTGATAAGAGTGTCGGTGGTTTGGGTGTAGAGTGATAAGGCATATCGAAGGCTCTGTAGTTCGGAACTTTTGTCCAAGAAGGCTTTCTTGAGTCCGTTTCCTCCTGCGTGAAAGTATTGCTTAATGGTGTCCAATGCAACGTCCAGAACGGCGCACTGTTTTGGCGAAAGGTTCTTTTCAACTTCCTTCGAGATGTCCATGACCCCACTCAGAGCATTCTTCACATCCTGCTTACCTGTCATGTGGTTCTTGAATATTCGAGACATGTCTTCGATTTTCGTATTGGCCGCAAGATTCTTTGCGTTATCTGTCAAACTCTTGAACACCATCTGGAAGAGATCATTCGTTTTTCAATATACACTCATGAAATTCAATATCCGAAGATAACTAACCGTTTTGTCAGTCATCGGCGGAAGCACAACTGTTTTCTCCAATATCCTCATAACGATCTTCCACAGTTCCTTGAGCAACCTTTTGAGCACCGTTTTCTCACAGGATTGCGCGTAAAGTGATAACGAGCCATCGAGAAGATCCATCAATGGACGCAACACTTCATCCGCTTCCACGGCAACGGCATTTCTTTGGGCTGGCTGATTGAGGGTTCCTGGTTGACCGCCGCCCTTTATAGCCAACAGGAGATCCCCGAGTTCTTTTACACTCTGAGTTATCCGAGGTTCCAAACTGTCAAACAATGACAATAACAATTACATATTATTCAACACAAAGTTGACATCGCAATAAACGGAAGAGACAGAGACAGAAAGACATACTAACCTAGACGCAAATAATGAAGCAAGTTCGTCTAGGGCACCGTTAAGACTTTGCTGCAACTCTTTCAATATGTTTGCAGCATCTTCTTCCAGTTTTTCTCCTCCCATGGACTCGAACATTTTTTCCAGTTGTACCCTCAGTTGTTGTATGTTGTTCATAAGGATGCAAGCCTGAAACAGGAATTTCCAAAATGATGAACTCGCTCATTAATGGTGCAGTAGGTCACTTACAATTCTTTCCTCCTTGAGGTGTTCTGGGAATTCCCGTTTCACTATGTCCGCATACGCTATGAGGACTTTCACGATCGTTTTGGCGAACCGTTTCATATACCTCTTCCAGATTTCGGGATCTGGACATTCCAGTTTGGACACGACGTCGAAACACTGCGTGAGCTGAGTGAACACGTCCACCACCGAGTTTGAGAAGAGGGCATGTTCACTACTCTTTTGAAACTGGAAGCAAATTTCAAAATTTGTCAGACTTGTAAGTCCAAATTTCTTTAGGATCTAATCGATACCAAAGAACTGACATATTGTTTAGAAAAAGAATTAATGTTAACCCCATACCAATAGGAAGAAAAGACTTTGAAAATGGGGGATATCGAAAGATGGTATTTGGTATGATATTTATATTGAGGAAGAAGTTTTGAAATTTGGCTATGTACTTACCCCGTCTTTTTTATCTCTATTAAAGGCACCGTGTAAATATTCTAAAGAGACGTCGTCATTTTCATTCAGCCACTGCATGACAAACGGTTCGAACCACGAGGGGTACTCTGGGACAGCGCCCTTGTACGGAGGCACATCCTTTACGTAATTTGTGTATAGCCATTTCACTTTGAAATGGAGGTTCATGTATGCCGACGATTTGCATAAGCGATGTTGCTCGTGTTCTTCCAGGGCATATTTCATATCAACCGCGAACAGACTCCACATTGTCGCCGCTGATAACTGTTGAATATCATAAGGAGTAAGTAACCTAGACATTCCACAGAAATATTTATAGAAACTGGAACAAGTTTTATTGAATCTACTGGCTGCTTGATGGAAATTTATTTCCACAGTTAAATAAACGACGAAAAGTACATGATGAAGTACATTGCAGGGAAGCGCACGAAGTTGATGAAAAGTGTAATAACTCACTGTCCTAATTGAAGTTTTAACTTTCAGAGATGCAACATTTTTTCTTTAAAAATAAGTAAAACAAAATTAAACAAAATAGTTCGAAGTAGTCTGTATTCTGTCGAAACCGCCCGACGCGGATCGCGATTTCGATCTTTTTGGATCTCATCAGCGCGTCGCAGGCAGCTTCGACAGAACACAGACCAACTTTTACCTGCTGTCTTAACAGTGCGTTTTAGAAAATACTACAAATGGCGCAATAAACGCCTTCTGTAATCATACGTAATCCTAAAATGTAGCATCGTGCTACAGATGGCGCTTACTGCGCCATTTGTAGTATTTTCTAAAACAAAATTCTTTCTTAAATCATTAATCAGTTCATTTGAAATGATAAAGTGAAGATACCATGGTTTGAAAAGGTTAGAAATGTGACGAATTGGAAAGTTTGAAGCATGAAGGGCTTTTTAGAAGTAAAAATAGAAATGAAGAGGGTCCAAGCTGTTAGTAAATAGGGACGTGAGATATTCCAGTTTTTGAGGAAAGGAAGGAGTGGATAAACCAGACTTCTTCGGATTGACCTTTCGATGATAATGATGTTCAACTAATTTAATACCATAACGACAGAATAAAAAGGGATTATTTATTGGTAATGGTAAGCCTTACTTGTCCGATATTAAGTTCCTGTGGAAATTGATTAAGAACTGGACCGTAACTGTTTTTATCCTCTTCTATGACAGAGACGATGAGAGCGATGAGTTTGTGCCAAAAATCAACACTGTCCAGGCGTGGCCCATGATCCTCTGGATCCCTTTTCGGCTCATTTGGATCCGCTTGAAATTCTCTAAATAAATATCACGGCAGGAAATTAATTTTCTAATTTGCCACCACGCGAAACCTTTATCATTGAAAATTAAGAAGGGTAGATACAATCATTCACAGTAGAGAGAACACAATTAATTTCTTAGAATTGTTCATTAAACTATACTTCTTCCGTTATTCGTACCAATACGTTTATTTTGGTAATTTTCTGATATGAAATAAGTAAATAAATGTCAATTTATACGTAGCAAGATGAAAATGTGAATTTGATATGCATACTAAAGATTGTATCGCCAAAAAAGGGGCGTCTTATCGTTCATATACTGGACGTTCGCGAAATGAAATAGAGTGAAACGCGATAATCCTAAACATTTTCTCACCAGGGTACACAGATAAAGAAGAAATATGATTTTCCGCTGTATACCGAAAGACCACTCATATCCCCCAAGGATGTCTGTACATGTTTGTCCATAAAATCAGTAAATTTTAGGATTACTGCGAAAACCTTTTACCTTTAAGTTTTGTAAAGCATGAAGGAAATTTCAACATAATTTATCTAAAATAAAAAATCTTAAGTTTGATAATTCCTTTTCCGTCTGCTATTAAATGTCGGTATTCTCTTTTAACATAACTGTACCACAAGGTGCCTAAGGTTATTGTATACAGTAGGGTCACTCCTTTCGTCTAACTTAAAATGTCACCGTTCTTTACAGGCGGTCACAAATCAATTTTATGTACTCTGAACTGATATACATCATATACGAAGACGATATATCAAAATTTACCGTCACATAATATATTTTTTGCTGTGGCTTCACAATGACAAGATAGCCTCTGCTTGGCTGGGAAATCAGTGATAAAGTGATAAAGAAGCGGCTGAAGGAGATGTTTGGGCGTGAACGGGAGCGTTATCGTGAAACCACAGTACAATATATTCTAACCTACGTACTTTGTTAGGTAAACACAAAATGCATTTATGACCGCCTGCAAAAAACGCCGGTTTTTAGGTTATATCAAAAGAGTGGCCTTCCTGTATATGTAGGATATCTTTGTACCATGGCTGTACTAACAATACAGGCTTCCCTTAAGATTATGTACGTTTCAATAACGTTGACACCCTTTAACAGTCTGGGGGAGTAGTATAAATACACACGGGACGCAGCTATCAAATACAGTTCGAACCACCTGCTACAAATTGTTCATCTTCATCGCTACACACTGTTGCGAAGCACTGAACCCTGAAAAGGGGAAAGATAAATTCATACCTGTTGTAAAGCTCATAAGTGTTTTCGAACAGGAACTGATACGTGGACCGGAGACACGCTTTGACGCAGTCTTTGACGACGGTACTAGCCCTCGGAGGACTCGATAATTCTTGTACTTTCATCCGGAAGAACGTGATACTGGTGAGTAGGTCCACGGTTGATTTCAGGTCCATGAGTTTCTCGTGGCTCGACGCAGGGAAATTGTTGCGATACATCGACAGATCGATACGCAAGGAATTGTGCAATTGGTCCAGAAGTTTCACAAACTTCTCTTTCTAAATTCACAAACAAAAAATATTGACAATACATTAGGGGATTGTTTATGTGATTTAACGAATTAGCTTTTGAGAAAGGTTGACTTTTTATTGGTCTTACGGGATATCAGATAATATCTAATATTTTGGGCTTTAAAATGGCTTACAAAGTTGACAACGAAAGAGTTCTTGTCGTCTCCAATTCCTTAACTTTGCTGGTGACGTTTGACGCAATTGGGGTTGGGAATATAAAGCGAGACCATCAATTAAAGCACCTATGCCATTAACTTACCCCAAAATTCGAAGCAGCAAAGCGATCGCTGGCAGAAACAGCCGATGACGCCGTCGTGTGTGCGTAGTAAGCGTTAATGTTGGCTAAAAGGGTGCTCATCACAGCTGGAACCCCTGGGCAGAGGTACTTTGTCGAAAGGCAATGGAAATGGCTACAAGAAATCAGTCAATTAATTTTCATAGATATGAGCAAGTAACGAAAGTTAGAAATGAAATTGACGTTATAGAACAAACGATTTATGAAAGAGCAGTGTTGTAACGGAAAATATTTTGAAAAAAAGGTAAGGTACATAAAAATACGAAATTATTCTGGTGATGGGTGGTTCTGAAATGTAATAAAATTTATATATTGACTATTAAACTGAAGAAGATGGTACTTATTAAAAGAAAAACAACAACAAAAGAGAAAATGGACATTGGGAAAAGTGGAAACACCAACATTATCTAAACGAAGTAATGAAAATAGCTGAAGCGGCAATGATGCACATATGAGAATTTGAGGAGAGATTGGAGATGGTTTGGAATACAAGAAATAGATAAGTGATGCAGTGAATGAAGAGGAGGTTGGATTTGGGAAGTTAGTAGGAGAAAAAGGACGCAGATTTGAGATGTATGTATATATTAAAACACATCATAAAGAATTATGAAGAAACAAAGACTAGAAAAATATCGGAATTAGTTTTAATGAAGAAATTAAGGAATTGGAGATGAAAATAATTGGATGTTAAAAGTAAAAGAGATTTAAAACTTGAAATTTACAAAGTAAGAATGATAGCCTTTGACCGAATATCACCTCGGTCGTTTCGTTCAGGTCGCAAAAAAGTATTTATTCATCCGGTCTAGAAATCCCGTCAGCTGGAATAAAGATAATACGTTCACGAAAACTTCCTGAGCAAATACAAGAGAGCGGTTCAATGAAGAGGAATCGCACTCTAAACTTGTCACTAAAGAATGCTCTACGGGCGGCCGGAACAAACAAACTGGGAAAAATCAATTGACTTGGAATAAAAAAAAAAGGATTGAGTAATATTTTACCGATGCGACCGAATTCGACGCCGCGACTTGTCAATATTGACCCTCATAAAAAAGATAAAGTTTCTTTCAAAATTCGATGGGAACGTGTTCCACCCTTCAATCATATATACCTAACCTTATCGGGATTAGGAATGACACATTGAAAATTGTTTACGCAGAATAGTCTGAACAGGAAGGGTCCTGATTGCATCAAAATATTCCTGTCAGGCTTGATATTGATTATGACACCTCTACGTTTTGAATATCAATATTGAGAGAGTATTTTTGGATACACCATCGATTTATTATTACATATGTTAATAGGTTTGTGACTCAAAACCTACCCTATAGATTTTTTATCAAGAACTAGTGTGTGTTCTTCAAATGTGGCTTTGGTTTAGGTTCTTGTGGTGTAAGAGAAGTTGGTCAGGATGTAGATTTTGTACAAACTTACGTCATAGCCTGATAGATGGACTCAATACCATATCTCATGGCAAACTCATCGACAATCTCTTCGGGAGCTTCGTCGAAGTACACCTTCCAAGCATCATCCCCTTTCGCTTGGGGAAGGTTGACAACTCCGCTGTTCTGTTCGCACAAATAATGGAACAAGTTCTCGTGGAGACAAGTGTATTGGACATGATAGGGTGCCACTTTTTCTTCACCCTTTATCTCCACCGAAATGTGAAGACGAATGGCACCGGATACAGCTGATTTATCAGTTCGTTTTTCTAGATTGTACCAGACGTCCATTTCACCGGATAATGTGCGCACCTAGTACCAGAAATTTCATTTACATAAGAGCGTCCAGCAGGTGCTATATGTCTCAAAATGCATGCGGCGGACAGGACGCTCTAATAAATTTTTGTCGAATAATTTTTCTTCTGATTTATTAGATTGAAATATTTTGTGGGTTTTCGTACATAAAAGAGATGTTGGACTCGTCAACATAAACATAACACGAAATTTTAGGTTGGAGGTGGTATATAATCATTTTAAACATAGGGTTACGTACCGAGACTATGTTTTCATTGAAATTTTTTAGGCTTTCATACCAAAACGTTAAATTTTGATCAATTGTTACAAGAAAATATAGGAACAGCCTTCGTATGTGTGTTACCATCGAGAACGAAATCACTGGAAGTCTTTATGAAGGTTTCGGGTCGCTCGTAGCAAGAAAATTATATAGGCCGAAATTTATGACAGGATTTAACGGTAAAATCATTAAAAACGACATCTATTAAGGAAAGTTATGCATCGCCTGGAGGAATTTGTGTGCCATTATGTCCTTATAGGTATAGATGTAACTACCACCGTAGTTACTATGTACCATAAACCATACTTACTTCGATAATGGTTTGCCCGAGGAAGTCGTCAGATTCTCTTGTCAATTTCTGACGCAATTTGCTCTTCAAGTCGTTATCTTCGTCCCACACTCGAACCTTTATTCTATCGGACGAATTGTGGCATTCGCTATTAATTAAGAGGAAAAAAAAAACACAAAACTTAGTCTCTTATAACAACTTTTTCCTCAAATTATTTTCTTAAAAAGCATTATAACAAAAAAAAACTAAACTAAAAAAGATTCATCACAAATGTGCCAAGATAATGCTTACATTAGAAGTGGACTAAACACGTGTCCGCAGAGCTAGTTCAAAATCTAATGACTTGAATTTATATTGTACATTATAAAAACATTGAGTCTCTTTTAGTTTATTTATTAGTGTATCAGTCTCCAGTGCACACTTTTCATAATAGTAGAGCTATTACAAGATCTCATGACTTGAATTTATACTGTACGTTGTAAAAACATTGAGTCTCTTTTAGTTTATTTATTAGTGTATCAGTCTCCAGTTTACACTTTTCATAATAGTAGAGCTATTACAAGATCTCATGACTTGAATTTATATCGTACATTATAAAAACATTGACCATCTTTTAGTTTATTTATTCGTGTATCAGTCTCCAGTTTACACTTTTACAAGCTTAACAAAACATCCAAGAAATAACAGACGCACAGTACATTTCGAAACTGACGCAATAAGAAATACAAAGGCATTTCAAATTAAGACAAAAACAAATCGTAAAATTCATTCAGTTATGTACTAAATGTAATTGTAGAATTCCGAAAATTCCACGTTTGTACAGAAGAAAATTAATTAAACTACCTGGCGTCTCATTATCAGTATTATTTTGGTGTATAGGAGCATTTGAATTTGCATTTCCTGTAGCCCACCATACATTCATATATTAAAGTTTTACGGTTAAAGTTTACCTAATAATTTCGCATTTATAATGCTCGCTTGAAGTTTACGATAACAAGTTTGTAGTAGTTTCGGTGGCAACAAATCTTGGAGCGGTTGAAAAGCAGTTTCACCTGTTCTATTATTTTTAAACTTTTGGTGGAAAGCATTGCATTTGTGTAAGGGAAAATTTTATAGGACAGCCTAGTAATAGACTTGAAATGGAAAACAAAATCAACACGGAAAAACTTGATAAAAGACGACCAGCGTTGCGCATATTGCGCGAAGTTTGAAAATTACAAGAGAACTAAAGTGCAGAGAAGTTTAAATGAAATTAAGAGCTAATATTCACAAATGAGTCGTATAAACGTTAAGCCACTATAAAACCTTCGGCAAGCGAAATGGTTGAGAACATTACAGTCATAAAAAAGGAATCACCAGTGCAAAAAAGGACTGAAGGTACAATATCAACAGAGGGATTAGATGAAGGCTAAATATTCACAATTTTTGGAAATAGAACAAAGTTTAACATTAAGTTTGTGGGCAGTGAACTTTAGAAACTGTCAGACGATTAGTTTTAGTTTTCATCGGTAGACAGAACCCCGACAAACACAATCAAAATTAATGTTTGACAAGGTGCTTTTCGATTTAGGGATTTCGACTTGTCAACCTGAAATCACCAAGTAGCTACCTATGTGACAAATTCGTAACTAGCAGAACATCAACCAAATGTTCCATTACTGACCATGAACTTAATGTTACTGGCTGTTACGCCATGGTTTGATAAGTTTGATAAGTCGATATCCTTAATTTGAAAAGGGTCTTGTCATGCATTAATCAACTTACAATTAGTGGCAAAAAAGTGTTTGACGCGCTAACAAGAAGTATCACCTACAGGAAATTGGACAGGGGTTTTTGAATTGGATGAGTTGGAAAAATTGCGAATAACTCAATAGAAAAATTAGAAAAGTTTACATCAACGCATTAGCTTCTAATACGTAGAACAGATAGCTTTCGACAACAGATAAAAATAGTGATGAAAAGTACCTAACGATGGAAGCGGTCAAGTTTGAATTTTAAACACCATGCAATTACCATAATGTTCTTGAAAAACGGTATAGTTATCACTACACAGTATAAAACAAAGTCGCTTTCCCGCTGTCTGTCCCTATGTATGCTTAAATCTTTAAAACTACGTAACGGAGTTTGATGCGGTTTTTTTTTAAAAGATAGAGTGATTCAAGAGGAAGGTTTATATGTATAATACATGCATAATGTAGTAGGGAAACACTGATAATTTTAGAGGTTTCTAATGTGATGTCGTAAATAAACACGTTTTTGCGTTTACATTACAAACGCTGGCTGAACCCTACGAGATAGATCAAAATAATGTACTACAATATTGTACATCTTAAAAGGGTCTACAAAAAAGTCTGCGATGGTATATGTCTATCTCTGAGGGATAACCCACAATAACCATTTTTATCCTTTACTTTTTATGAGAAATAATGACTTATTTACGAAGCGATTGGTAAGAAATACACATTAATTCTTATCCAATTAAGCAACTTAAATACATTGTGCATTTAATATAGATCAATATGGCCCTTTATAGCATGTAATTTAAATGAATATTTTCGAGGAGGCCGGTTTGTATTGTCTAATGACAAAAGAACTGTGAATGTTGTAAAGACATTCTGTAATATAAAATAATTCGAATAAAATAATTCGAAGTGGTCTGTATTCGTAATCCTAAAATGTAGCATCGTGCTACAGATGGCGTTTACGGCGCCATTTGTAGTATTTTCTAAAACATTCTGTAGTATATTTAGTATATTCAGGGGGTATCTTTTGAAGATTTCCCCTTTTCGATAATAATCTAAACAAAACAAAAATATATTTATTATCAGCATTGCACCCGTGCGAAGCTGGGACGGGTCACTAGTATATTGATAAATAATAACTATAAAATTTAACTTTTGATCGTGTTTTATAAATGCCTATCTTCTAAAGTGTTGTCTGCAGTTAGAAATGACACCTTTTGGGTTTTAGTATTTGGGTTTATATTATGATAACCGCAATTACGACAACACACTAAGGGGCACTTTACTTAAGTATATGGAGAACTAGTGTAAGCCTCTACATAAATCTCATAAAATGCTACCTAATAATAAAAGGCAGAAATAGCAATAAGGGTAAGACACAATATATTTTCGCTCATGGCATGGTACATAAATTTGCTAGCTCAAAACTAGCGATAAAAATGTAAATTTTCTCATTGGTGGGAACAAGGTAGGTACCTGCAAGGAATTGAAATTTGTCTTTAAGAAATGACATGAAATGGTCAAAATAAAGGTAGCGAAGTTTTCCGGGTTTAAAAGCTTTGATTCATTGGAATTACTTCCTGTTAAAAACCGCGGTCGATCGGAATTACATCCTAAAGCCGTAGCCTTTTGAAATTACTTTCTCACAAAAGCTATGATCAGTTGGAATTACGTCCTATTAAAAGTTGTGGTCCATTAGAATTATTTCCTGAAGCCGTCGTCTATTGGAATTACTTCCTAAAGCTATGGTCAATTGGAATTAGTTCCTAAAGCCGTAGTCTACTGGAATTACATTCTCACAAAAGCCGTGGTCAATTGGAATTACACAATGTTAAAAGCAATGGTTCATTGGAACCCATTACTTATTTTCGAAATTTTTACTAGGAAAGTGGATAAATCCGTGGTTTGTAGGCGTACCTATTAATTTCTGGTAACTAAAAAGTTAAGTATATTATAGGTATTTTAGGTATATCGGCCATACAGGAAGGCTATTCCGCAATCGAATTAAAGAGCACAAAAAACTTTGGAAACAATATTATTATATCTTAAATTTTAGATATAATCTCCAGTATTATATTATGTCATGTGGTATCTCCATAACCAAAAAATAAGTATTAATAAACACCTGAATCTATTTTTAAGTTGAACGCGTTCTTTTAGCTGAAAAAACAATAAAAATCGTTTAAATTTATTATAATAAACACAAAAAAGCGTTACCTATAACTTTTCTCGTATTATAAACATTAACATAAAACAATTTCCTGTTAAAACTTTTGCGAATTTAGTTTTTAAAACTCCATTAATGAATCTGTAAGCTGTGGACTAGTGTTTTTCATTTGCATTTTAAAAGCATCGTACTTCGTTACCATGAAAAGCAAATAGGTGGTGTTTTCTTTATAAAAAAAGACACCTGGCAAATACAACATCGGAAATTTACAAAAAAGGCCAATTGAATGGTAGCCGGCGTCATCCGTTTATCAGAGCTCGTTCGATCGATGCGGCCGAAAAAGAGCATCATTTGGGTTATTGCGGAAAACGAACAATTCAAAAGAATCCATGTGGGGGGAAAATAAATTATTTAGCAACGGATAAAGAGAATAAAAGAACCGCGGGACGCCATAAAAGAAAAAGCGAACCTACAGGAACGGGAAGCGACGACTGAAACAGAAATTTACTTGATTAATAGTTTAACGTAATCCGGAATGAAAATTTTGAATAAACAATGTAGAAAACGCTGTACAAGGGAAAACTTTAACAATGTTGAAGAAAAATGCAATGATTTTAATTGATTCATCTCTAAAAGATGAAATTCTTTGAGACAGAAGGTAGGAACAAGAACACTTTAGACCTCCATGAACTCGGTAGGTCGAAAGTGTTCTTATTTACCAACATAAACATGTACAACACCGGTGGTACCAACTTTCAGGGTAGTATAAATAATTTAGAGACAGTAAATGGGTAACAGAGCGCTAAGGAAAAGACATACTCATTAGATACGAGTTGAGCTATATCAAGGATGTTGTTCGTACATAGACTGGTACTAAATCCATGCTAGTCCAATATTTGTACCTATTTTTAGCTCCTTTATGCTCATCGGTAACTTCTCGTGAAAGCATGCCTCCTTGTTATAGTGCTTAGTCCTTACATTTGATATTACGAAATTACGAAACGAAACTCGTTTATTATAAGTTACAAGTCAGTGCCTGTTTCAAATTAACTAGTAAAATAACAAAAATGTAGAACCTAGTACGATAATCTGACAAATAATAAAGATTAGAGTCATATAAACAACATAAACCCGGGTTTTCTCTTAATGAAGAATTGCGTGAATGTGATGTAAAAATTCAGAAGAATATGAACGATGTAGATTACTTATTATGGTAGTCATAATAATCCTGTAGATATACACTGCCATTAAACGGTTAATACGACAGTTGTTATGACAGCGAAATATGAGAAAGGATAGATTACGAATAGCTTACATAGGTAGGTAGATATTTGCGAAAGAATCGTAATGTTGAATGTGGTGATTTTTCTGGGGTTTGCGTATAAGGGTTGCAATCTATGAACGTAGTATATTTGGGGGATCAAAATTGGCAAAGTCCCCAATAAATTATCTGTGAAATAGACGTATCTTTTGTTTTGTTTCCACTTGGGACTGTAGTGATTTGCAGCGTTTTGAACATGTCCTTGTTACGCTAGGAAATACTTCATGAGTAGTACATACAAAGTGAATAGAGATAAACGAATAATAGTAAGCGGCGGAGCAATTAGGGGTTGCTTAGGTATGCAAAAGGTTAGGATCGACTTTATAACTGCCTTATAATTACATGTTTTTCCTTTTACATACTTTATTAGTGTCCGCTGCAATTCGTAACTGACATCTCTTTTCTATGTTTACGATATTCCCTACAATGTCTGTCGTGAGTAAAAGTAGATGTTCTGTCAGAAACCGCTCTAGTCTAGTTAAAAAGTTCTAAGAAGAAAGTACATGTGATAGTTTCATTGTGGACCCTGCCAATTTTGAAGTCCTAACAATAATTCGGGTGAACTTTTCAAAAAAAAAGCACTCCTTTAAGAATAAATTTCAATCTCTTCGATTGCGTATGTTTAATTTTATATGTTTCCCGAATGTATTTTTTATTTTATTTTCTGCTCATTTCAGTTTTAACTGGTCAACTTTGAGCAAGTGGGAGACGGGCCGATGCCAAAGAACCTCAGTCACATCATTCGAGATACGATGTAGAGCAATTTACTGTTATTAAACTTTTATAGAGCTAACAGTATTTCTTGCCTAAAATAATCGGTGATTATTAAAAACTCCGTTTCTATTATCTGAAAAGGGGGCTCTGTTAAAAGTGTTAAGAAATCTGCGTATGATTTCGGATGTATTAAGGATTACTGATTTTTGTAGACTGATGTACGAAAGTTTATGCAGTTTCAACTCGTCTAAGCTGGCATGTAATGTTTTAGTTATGATGCGTATTGTTGATATTATTATTGGAATAATTCGAACTGTCATCTAATTCTACATTTATTTTATATCATTAACCAAAGGAATGTATTTTTGGATTTTGTCTGTAATTATGTTTCTATCCCAGTAAAGCTTAAATTTGATATTAAATTGGTATTAAGACTATTATATTCTGCATTGAAGAATAAAAAGAGTAAAGAGATAACGAGTTTAAAGATACTTACAAATAGAACTTTTCATCCCAAACAGGATTGAGTTCTTGAGGCATGGTCCTTGTGCGTTTCTTCACTTTTCCCACTTGAACGGTAACGTACGGATCTGATGTTCCACTTTTGTCCTTTGCTATAAGACCCTGAGCGCATTTTACTGAAATTTACAGTTGTTAGGATCCCGTTCAATTTTCAATAACATACATAGATGTATATACAGCGTCTTTCCAATAAGAGCTATTTTTACATTCCCTTAAAGATTTTTATAGATAATGGTAAATAAATAGAATCATTTTACCATTGGTGATGATTAAACATTTATAGTGAAATGTAAAATAATAGCTCTGGCTTACTAAAGCGCACAACAGGTAAAGCACGTCTTATTGTACAATTAATGAATCAATTAGTAAATGAAATGTAACTACCGGGTGCTTGACTTAATCCTTTTTTACAACACAAGTGAAGGTATAATACAGTGCATACATCTTTTATTCTACACCATTAGCATGTAATATCACAAAAAAGTTACACATAATTATTTTTAATGAAATATTTACGGAGAAAAATAATAAATTAGAAAGTAAAAGGCTTGTCAATGCGAGATAATAAAAAAATAAATAAAATGTTTTTGTTTGGATTTTTAATTAACACTAAATGTCGTGCTAACGTTCTTGGAGTTTTTGTCAATAAATATAATTTGTTGAGATTCTAAAGATATTAACAAATTTAGGAAAAAGGAGCAATATAAATCCTTAACAAAAATATTTTACCAATAACAATAACAGTGACTTTTACTAAAGTACGAACGAATAAGAAAAAAGCAGTTAGAAAACATCATCGCCTTTTCGCATTTGTACTATGAACAACTTTATACGAATGTTATAAGTAATAATTTTTCTTGGGTGATATGAAAATCTAATTCGTGTAACATGCAGAACCTTTGCATGTATCTATTACGAAAGCAAGCAGCTGAATATTGAAGGAAAAATAACTCTCTCTCTAAAAAAGTGCATTTACATAATTAAGCTATGAAAATACATCGCGCTATAAAGACGTTGTCGCAGGCTATTTTTGTGCATGCACCTAGAAATTTGAGCTTTATGTACAGCCTCACTTTGCTGCAAATGCCTTGAGAAAACTGAAAGATTTATTTATGTTTAAAGGAAGGATGGAGTAATGAGTGAACTACGTTTATGCAATTGATTAGTACAGGCTTAAGTATACGTAAGTACATATAAGAGATATTTTTAAATACGGCAACACTTATAAAGTAAATTACCGAAGGGTAAAATAAGTTAATAATTTTTTTTTTGTTTTGATGGTATCGGGTTTTAAAGAAAATTGAGAAGTGACAAAAATTATTATCCAACTAGCTTAAAACAATAGTGTTACTTGTGAAAGCACTGCAAGGGCTACAGGTGTCCTTGGCCAAATCGAAAGCCTTTTTTGCATATAAATTAAATGGGCGACTCACCCTATAGCTACCACTAAACTTCTTCCTTGTGGATATGCGTTTTACCCATTTCCAATATAGACATATCATTACGAAAGTGGTGTCTTCATTAGAAGTGGGTCAAACTTGTATTTGAAAGGAAAATGTTTAGCGGTAACTATTGATGAGTAGACATTAGTTTTGTCTTAGTCTTTTGAGAGTACGTTTTGGTCTCGATCTTATTTTGTCGGGATCGGTTCTTATTTTTGCAAGATTGCCTTGCTATTTCAAATCTATATTTACCATTGCGAAATTTTGACTTCTTTGGTAACTCTTCAAGGAGAAGGTCACAAAAAATAAACATAAAATTGATTTCTCGATTGTTTGCTGTCCACTAATTTTGGAACAACTCGTTTGTTTATAGTTTCTTACATGAAATTTAAGTTTATTTTGTACCCGTTTCAGAATTAAGGTGAATATTTTTCGAGAATTTTGCTGTTGGTTTTGATCTTGTTGATTTAATCTTGCTTCAACAATGTTGGAACAAATACAGCTACAAATGTAGGATGATAGATACAATAAGCAAAAGGCATGTAGGGGTTCAAGAAAAATTGAGTTTAAAACTATTTGGCATTCTACTTTTAGGCATCTACATAACACTGAACACAAATTAAAGCATTTGCAACAAAATAGCGAGGCTAGAAATTTATCAACACAATTGTTCAAATCATTGAACATATGTATATAAACGTGTACATATAGGGTGTCCCGTAAATAGTGGATAACCTTTTAATTCGTACGGGACCATTAAGATAATCCAGAAAATTCAGTTTTACGTTTAATGAATCTTTTAATTTTTGTTTTTAAAAAATATTTTTATGCACCTGAGAATGTATAGAACTATTTAAGGAAATAATAATTTAATAAATCATTCATTTATAGATTTGAAACCTGAGAGATTAACTTGCGATCCTAATTTACTGGGAAATATTTGAAAATCGTGGACTTTTTATTAAACATAAAGTTTAATTATCTGGATTGCGCTACAGTTATCTATCTTTTACGGGACACTCTGTATAAACTATGAATAGAGAGTGTGAACGTTCTCCACTGTTAGTTTTATGGTAAAAGCGTGTAATTATTATTAGTGTTAGTGAAGAAGAATGGTGGTGTCTATATAGTGTTAAGATATAGTGGATTTATTAAATAGTTTGTTAATTCAGGCATATTTGTAGCTACATTCTATGGGCAACTCATAAAAGTCATTGTAGAAGGACTAAAAGAAAGGGCTTGATTGTAGAAACGGTGTTATTACCAAGTTAGATTTACCCCTAATGCAAAGATGCAGTAAATTCGAGAAGTTTTTAATTTACTTGCTATAATAATTATAACACCCTCATTAATCTATTGTTTATTTCAATTTCATCTATTTTTCGTTAAAAACAATTCGTTATAATTGAGTTAGGTACTAATATAAATTAATCTATGCTATTTGTTTTAATATTAAAGTAATTAATATTCTCGAATGTTTCTGCAGTTTGCAGGGATTTTGGAACGTTATTAGCAGTTAATCAATACTTCGTTTGGGAGATTTTGGGAGATAAAATAACGTTAGTGTGAGTACATGGGAATGTGTAACTGACAGCAAAGGCACCACAGGATTCATTAAATAAAAAAAAATATTGAAGTGTTATTGTGTAGCATATCTTAGGTATATAGGTAATAACTACTTTCTTGATTTTTATCTTTATAAAAGAAATTAATAAATTATAGATTAAAATAATCAGAAAGATTTCTGAATACTACCAATATTTTTTGATGAATATGAGGGCAATATTCGGAAAAAGTGACAGGTGAGGAAATATTTTTAATAATTATTAGAAACAGGCAATTTTTTCCAAAATGATGTTCTTCTGTATGATATTGCCTTGGAATAACTAAAAAAATATCAGTCTCGCGTTGATGATGCCCACGTGTGAAAAGGGCGAAACACGTGTCCGCTCATATAAAATTTATTTGTGGTAATTAGGGGTGAGTATTCCTTTTAATTTTTTAATTAAAATTTACCACAGTCTCCTTCTTCTATTTTGAATAAAAAAGATGGTTACTTTTTTGTATAATATAAAGTAATATAATGGGTGCTGTAATATTATGAAAGAGGAGTCATAACAACTATTATTTTAATATTCTTTTAGTTTTTATTTCTATTTCTATTCGTAGATGAATACTTATGGTAGGTAACTAAGAGTTGCCCTAAGAACGTTGAAACAGTTTAAGTAGATATGCAAATGTTTACCGTCAGTTACAGATTCACCTTTCAGGGGTATGTTTATAGGGGATCGAAGTGGCAGTATGTAAACTGTCCGGCTTTGTTGTTAAGAATTCTTACACTGCTGTTAACATAGGTAGAGAAGCTAAAGAAGAAAGCTTTAATAGTGAAAGAGAGCACAAACACACCCTAAGTACCAGACTCGAAATGAGATTAGTTTTTCAAAACACAGAGAGCTACAGAGAATTAGTTGAAAGTTTGGACTTTATCAAACTTTAATCAGCAGTTAGTCAAGTTGTAATAGGAGGCATTCCGATGCATGAACTTTAACCATAGCGTGCAGTCTGTTTCAAAACACTTTCTGTAAACCAATCCACTTCAAATTTAATCATAAACAAAACTAAATCAATTATGAAATCAGAGCCAGAATTAGGATTGTACGCATTTAAAAAAGTATCACCGTGAAGCCGCAATAGAAATATATTCTGTAACCATACGTTTTGTTAGTACCTATAGTACATCAGCGCAAATATGGTTGGTTTATGACCGCTTGTAAAAACGCCGGCTTTTTGGTCAGTTCAGTGGAGTAGCCCTATTGTTAGAATATCTTTATGGTGCGGCGGGCTTCCCCACGGCTAATGTAATATGAAATGTAGTTAAAACTATATTATAGTTAAAAACCACACGACTGAAGAAGTCTCACACTAAATGGCGATACGTCGGTTGAGTTTTTGTAATTGATAAGCGTGTAGATACATATCAAATTCTGGATGTGATTCTATAATTGAAATTTATACACGAAAGTAATATTTTGAGTATACGCGCATATAGAACAACTTCACCTTATTTATCTTAACCTTGTCTATCGACCCAGATAAATTCTAACTGTAAAGTTGTAAATTTTGTCTGACACTTGTAGTACAACCTTTTCTTAAATTGAAAGAAGTTTCATTCGTATTATATTAAAAATCTTTTCAAAAATGCATTCAAAGCTGTTTCAGTGTTAAACGTAATGTTATAACAACAATATAATCTTGTAAATCATCTGCAGCTACTGTTTTTCCACAGAATTTATATAACAGAACTGTCAGTATTTTTTTTTAACTAGAAGTAAATTGTATAACTATATTTAAAAGATAAAAGCAATACAACTGTTTTAAAAGAACTATCACTTTAATAAATTTTTGTTTGTGTATTGTTTAAAAGGTGAAGACCAGGATATTCAAAGACAAGGTGAAGAACAAACAGCTTCGTAAAATAGTGTGGAATTTTCGTGTTTAAAAGAGTTTTTCTTAGCTATTCTGTCTAATAGAAGTTTAGTAAATTATAAACTTAATTTTCATGACGATTGTGCTCGGAAACAGACCAGTAAAGAATGCAATTTATAATACTGAGGAGGCGAACAGAAGAGATAGTGACAGAAGATAACAGAATGAAAAATATTAATAGAGTTTTATATTAGTCATAATAATAATCATCATTATAGTCATACTCATGGCCCCAATAGAATGCAGCTGTCAATACCTGTAATAGCAATCTTGCAGGACCACTTTGAGGTGCCTTCGATTGTCATTTCCTCCGCCTGCTCGATTGAGTCTATATGTGTGTCAGGGTCCACATTAAATGTTGTTCTGGTGGTAGATGCCGAGACCGGAAAAAAGAGACACCGATACAATCTCTCAACAACAACAATAACACAGCAACAGCAGCAATAGCAACACTAACAGACGCCATACCATCGTCGCTTCCATCGGTTTTATTATTATAAACATTGATTATTATTAAACGACATGTGTGTTTTCCCGCCTATCCTGATATCGGCAGGACCTTTCAATTAACTGGCTATTACACCACACAACAGCGAACAATTGAATAGATTTTTAAACCAACTCTTACGCGACTTCCACACTACATCATGCTTGAAAAATGAATTATGTATACGTAATTGGTCGATTGTACCACACCAAATTATTAGTTTATCTATCCGAAAATGATTCATGAGAGCTTATAGCTTTAGATAAATGTAGTAAACTTTTGTAATCATGCGACTGATTGCACCCGATCACTTTTGGCTTTTATTTAAGTACAATTGGTGAATAAAAGTACGCACCAAACGGATCCCGACTTGTTCCAAAAGTTCTTTTTTTAAATTTTGAATCTTTAAGCTTTTAAGACCAAGTTAAAACTATAATGATCTTATTTTATAAAAATACTGGTGGATCAAAAGAAAATATCAGTATTTTTAGAATTCGTATTCGTCTCAAAACTGCGATAGAATTATTTTGTGTTGCTGACGTTTGCTATACTTCGTTTACTTTCTGTAGCGATGTGATCTTCAGTTTGACCGGCGCAAAGTAGAAAAGAACAGCATTAGGCCAGAAAAGGAAGGAGACAACTCTCGGCCAAACTCTTAACCGGTGAGGAGAGTATAATTCGTACAGTACTGCACGAAAAAATTGACCATTTTATCCACTACAACTGCATTGCTCAAATGTGCTGTTAATGGTAACATTTACTACTGAAAATATCAACGAGATGTTTATTTATATTTGAAGACATATTAAAGGCTTTAATACTTGTTTTCGACTCGCACTACTATTCATAATTGAATAAAACTTTTCGCAAGTACTGTATGAAAAAGTATGTTTAATGAACAAGAGTCGAGAGTATAATGAGCTTTTTTCTCCCTATTTACGATTTTGCCAGCGCGCATCCAAGACACTGGAAGGGGCACATCGCTAGAGAAAGTAAATGAAGTATACCGTTATTACACAGTTTAGGGTTCATTTATTATTACTTAATTAGCAGATATCATAAATAAAATGCTTTTTATCAGGTTTTATTGCACCTCAATTTAGATACTATAGTTAATGCAAAAAAAGCAGTAGATAACAGAATATTATTGGTACGTATACGTGTATGTTTCCACTTTAGATCGTGCATATCGTTGGCACCACTCTGAGGTTTGCGTGGTTCTACGTGATAATTATCACACTCAATTAATTATTGTACGGTAATTCCCGCAAACTACAGTTGCGATTGCTAATAATTTGAAATGCTATACAAGAATTAGTCTCTAATTTATAACGATCTACCAGATATCTCAAACTAACCTTACTTTGTTTTGACCGTTAATAATAAATAAATAGTTTATATTTCGATTCAATACACAGTATAAAATCGACGAACCGGAAATAGAACAAGCAATGGTCTAAACATCTTGACGATGCGGCTCTCGGTTGTCCTCAGATAAATATCAAACTTTATGGGATAGTACCATACACTTCTCCTCCTCGTACATCATAGATCGGATCATATAAAATTGATTTGTGACCGCCTGCAAAAACGCCGGCTTTTTAGGTTAAATTAAAGGAGTGGATCTGCTGTTAGAATATCATTATAGTCTCGTACAGGGCTTCTTCACGACTATAATATGAGATGAAGTTACAACTACATTATGGTTAAAAAACATACAACTTTAGATTTAGATTTTTTCTAATTATATGTAATTAATTCGATCGGTACATTATAAAATAGGTATATTTTTCATTACACTATTATAAATAAACCGTACTATCAGCATCAGGCTGTTTAAAACTAGAAAAAGCCTTGTAAGTTGCATGATTTTTAACTGTACTGTATTAGCTCTAACTTATTACAGCCCTGAAGAAGAATCACAACAGATGGCGATACGTCGGTTGATGTTTTCTAATTAATAAACGTGTAGGTACATATCCAATTCTGGCTGTGGATAATTATCTGAAGATTGCCTGCGGACTATTACTACTACAGAATTTGCTTAAATGATTCAAGAAAACCACAGAATAACTTGGACCGCAGCAGACGGACCCGAAATAGGATCGGAGTCCTTCTTAGTAGACTTATGTCCTTGAACATCCTTAGTAGTAATAGTAGTAACAAAATGTTTAAATTCGACTTTGATTGGTGCCATTGTTTTACAATTATTGTCAGCGTTAATTAACCACTACATCAGTTTGTGGCTACGATTTTATGACCTCAGTCAGCAAGCGCAACTGTAGTTGTTCTGTTATGAATAAGAGAGTGGCAACGTGGGCAGGGATTCAACATCAGCAACACATATTTTTGTGTTTTGTTTTTTACTTTACGGCCCGTTGCTCGTCTGATTTATTGCGACAAAATGTCAATTATTCAACGATCGACAAACGCGTTGCGGTCGCAGCTGCCTCATGACATTTTCAAAATTACGAGTTATTACGACCTACATAAAACTGTGTAATATTGCACATTATGCATGTTGATTAAAATGTACAGACACACAGGTACTAACATATATATATATACACTCGAAATTATATGTATTTTATGTCGGGTTTACGCTTGTTGTTTATTGTATTCTGTAGTTAGTACGTCAGGTACCATTGTTGTAGGTTTACTGTTGTGCTGTGTGTGAGATAAATATCCAATTAGCAAAAAGGCACAATAATAATAATAATAATAATAATAATGATAACAAGCCAATGCGCTGGCGCAGACCATTAGCCGAACATTTACAGCAATTCCATCAATAAATACATATAGGTGCAGTTGCAGTGAATAGACCAGGGCGGCAACGATCGAGATTGTAATTATTTTGAAATATTTAGACTAGAAAGAAGATATTCTGGGTCAGAAACTAGTAAACAAGAATCGCTGTTTTCAACTTATTAGTTCACATCAGCACGCGTCAAGTAGAAGCTGAATAAAAGGCCACCAATGAGAGACATTGGGGGCTTTTCAGCGAGAAAAAAATCGGTTAAAGTCGACATTTATCTGTGGACAGATCCTTCAACACAAGCCGAATGTACTCCAGAGTAAAGTTGGTTTGTGTATGGACTCTAACCTAAAAATTTTATTTAGAGGGAATAGCATTGTGTTACTTTGTGGTTTCCTTGTTTGGAAGGCCCTAGGGTAAACGAGCCGCCTGTGGAGATTGTTATTATGTGGAAATTAGTCTAGCGCTTTCCCCAATATCTTTTAGCCATAATTTAAATTTTAATTACGTGTCTACTTATTCGATTATAGTGATATTAATAGAATGTTCTTGTTTTTTAAATTGTGGTTAAAAGAAGAGTTTTATATTGACATTAGTTTTTAAGTATTTCAAACTTTTTGTAACTTTTTTTTAATTTTACTTTTGTTTTTCCGCCTCCCCCTTTACAATGAAGCGTTTTCTACTTTCCCAAATTTCCCTTTTCCTTCAGCACCTGCTATTATACAGCAGATTACTAGAGCAACCCCAATTAAGTATCATTAATTTAAAATTTAAAAGGGTTCTTCCTTATTCTAAAGATATCATGACGTTACGGCCTACTTAATCGAACTACCTTCAACCCTTGTTAAATTTTAATCAAAACAACGTAGTCAAAAAATCTATTTATCCTGGCGCTATTCACTGCAACAAATAACAATAAATAAACATAATAGATTCATTACAACAATACGTTGCAGTTCGTGTTAAGTAGTCGCGCTGTTAAACTACGTCACGGGAATGTTTTGTACGGCTTTACAACAACAATGCAGCCTTTATATAGAGCATTATATGTACAGATACGGACAAAGAGCGAAAAGACTGTTGGCCGAGGGATGTGTGCACGCTATAGTTGGTACGATCAAAATCGGCAAAGTTCGCAATAAATTATCTGTGAGAATGGACGTATCTTCTTTCACGTTTCCACTTGAGTAATACAGACAAAGTGAAAAGAGATAACCAAATAAGTGAGCGGTGCAACGGTTAGAGGTATGCAGAAGGTCAGGGTCGGCTTTATTCTTTGCTTTCCTAAAGTCCGATGCTGACAACATGCTAAAATCAATCAAAACATCAATTGGTATAATGCTATTTCTTTTTCATTATTAGTGCCCGCTGCAATTCCTACCTGGCATCTCTTTTCTATATTTACAGTATTCCTTATAAAGTCTGTTGTGAGTAAAAGTAGGCGTCAGCTACCGCTCTAGTTCAGTTAGTAAGTTGAAAGAAGAAAGTAAATGAGACAGTTTATTGAGGACTATGCCAATTTTGAACGTCCCCACTATAGCAACCCTCGCTAGTTAGCATTTCGTCGTGGACAAACCTGTAATTGCTATTTTAGCCGACCACTTTGAGGTACCGTCGAGTACTGATTGTTTAACGGCCTTCATGTGGCCGACGTGGCTCTTGTCTTCTACCCCGAACACAGCTCTAAAGACACATTATTAAAAAGTACTTATATAACACAACTTGAAAAGTTTAATTGTTGTGCCCCTTCTGGTGCAAAACAATCATTATTATATTAACAGCGAAGTAGGTCAAGCGGATACTTAAAAATGTTTCGTAGATGTTGTAGGGGAACAAATTGGTCCTACAAAATTATAAAGGATCTAAAAGTGACCGAGCTTCGCGTGCAGTATTTACTATTAAATGCACCCTTTTCATTTAGATAACTGAGCTGCTCTTTAACAGCCATAACAAAGAAAATTAATTAAATTTAATACATGTGGCAGTAACGTTATGCGTTAGTATTTCCGTTACAAAATGCGAAGTAAAGATCAACTGAATAGTTCCTAAAGTAATTCTTGGGCATGCGACGTCAAAAGATGTTGAGGATAGTATAAAGGGATAATTTCCAAGGTAAATAACTCATTGGTTTCTGATCATAACTTAAAATCAAAAACCGACTCAATCGGAGAACTATTAATTTGGTTTTTCACTTTTTAAGAAGAATTTTGTTGGTATGGTGGCTCATGATTGATCAACTGACTTATTATTTGTGCTTCTTGGTTATAAATCGTTGTATCGGTGGATTTATTCTTCGATTCAATTCTCCAACTTTATTGGACAAGAGTTAATTGGTGAATTTTTGACTAATTATTACTTTTAGTCATGAGCTTTCTTGACTCGCAAGTCGCAGATTCACTTCTGCGACCCAATTGTCCAACTTTATTGATAAGAACAATTTGGTGTATTTTTACCTTGATTCTTTCGTTTCTTCCAGAGCTTTTTTGGATTTGATGCCTTATAGTTTGCTGATTGATTTTGAGATTCTTGGCTAAAAACCGTTATGTCGATATACTGACTTCTTCAATGGAATTGTCTGACATTATTGAACAAAAGTCAGTTGGTCAACATTTATCTTGATTCTTTTCTGTTTGTTAAGAGCCTTGTCAATACTATGATTTAAATGTTGACTGACTAACTTGAGCTTCGTGACTGTAAGCCACTGCCTCAGTGAATTCACTTTTTCGGTACAACTGTTCAATTTTATTGGACACGACTCATTTATTGAACTTCTGGCTTGATTTTTCTCTTTTTGTCAACAGTGTTGTAATGTGATGGCACGCAGTTGGCCCATTGGCTTCCGCCTTCAATCTCCAGATCTATATTCTTTGGTGTCCCATGATTTACATTCAATTACATACCAATTACACATCAAAAAGAGCATTTTTTTGATCGATTTTGTACCGTTTGTGAGATACCAATGGGACATTTGATATTTGTTTTTTTTTTAATTACCTACCACCTTCTGTAGATTGTAGTGAACAAAATACCTACCCATGATGAAACAATTTCCATTATACAACAATTGAACAAGATATTGAGAAACCATATTGAAAAACCAATTACATCACCGTTGATTCACGTTTCTATTTCTTGCTAAAATTGACGTATATGTTGATATTGCAAGAATAATAATTCTCATTTTTACACCCAATAGGTGTGCTATAGTAATAATAATAATAAATAATAATAGCATGAAGACAACGGAATTTTTAAAATTACAACGGCGTGTAATGGGTAGTAAATGTGAATTTTATGAACATTTTTGGCGTTAATATGAGGTGTTTCTTAAAGCGGCTTTTAGTACCTGCGTGCATGATGCATGTAAGAATGAAATTTTATAGACAACTGCCGAATCCCTCAAGAGTTATATACGCTACGGTTATAAAAGGAAGATAATAAAGTACAATAGCAATTTTTCTAAACAATTGGACGTAATAAGTCATGTAAAGAGGTCGAGAATCCACTGGGATTATCGATCGCATATATTTTCTTCCAATCGCCTATAAAACCTGGTAATTCATTGTTCCCGTAAAAACCTCCAGTCGACGAGAGAATCGCTATTTTCCAATTCTATAGTTACGAATGGTGTTTTTCCCTGTTTTATTCCGAGTACGCGTCTGTTATTCGGTAATACACAACGGTAGCTAACTGCCAAGTTGTTTACCAATTCGGTGATTTTATGTTCACTGATAAAATCGACGAAGCAATTAACTACAGAGGTACCTATCCTAAATACAGGAAGAAGAAAGATCGAATATCCGTAGATAATTTTTTAAATATTTTTACTTTTTGTATATACGTATTAATAATTACCGTAAGTGTCCTTTCGAACAAAGCAGGAATATAAAATGATAAAATGTGTCCTGCATATCTTACACATGGTAATAAATCGTTAAAAATGCTTGCCGAGCCATGTTTGTGAGATTCATGTCAATATTTTACTTGGAGGCCAGAAAAAGAATTAAATTTCCTAATAAAAAGTTTTGGATTAATATTTTATGTACTATCCAGGGTCCTATGTATTAGAAATTAATTTGAAGATGAATTTAAGATCATTTCAGATTATTGTTGATGCATTCTTTTTTTAAACCCAATCTTATTATCAGTGTTTATAAATCCTAATATTATTATTTTGGATATGCTAAAATGATTATTCTTTACTGAAAATGTTTTGTTATATCATAAAAATTATTAATATTTAACTTTCAATGATGCAAAGTTTGTCAATCAAAATCATGTCGAATTTGTTTTGTATTCATATTTATCAGTTACCTTCAGTGCTATTTACTTCAAAATTGTTTTGTTCGTCTTACAATCTTTTAAAGCTTCATCAAAAGATAAAATTCTCTTTAATTTGATCTTTTTATCGTTTAATTTATTTGGCATTAATTTACTTTTAAGGTTGCTGTTTTTCACAAGTTCTAAAAAGGAAGACCAATAAGGTAAACTGACTAAAAAGTTTAAAGCAGTAGTGTATGAACCATTTCTTTTATTATAAATATAGAACAATTACAAAATAATATAGTTATTAAAAAAGACAATAAACCATGCTGTATCCCTTTCATTAATTTTTAAACTGATGTTATAAATTGATTAAGAAACTGCCATGGTTTTTTATTTTGTTGGTTTTGTGCGCTTTAGTTTTTTGCAATGACTCGTATATCTCGTTATTTAGAGAGAATATTTCGCGTTAGTAAAAGAATTTACGGTTCTACTGTGCATCGGTGGCCACAAAATCCCGAAACATTGTCAGAAAACAAATCAACGGGATGCCAGACGGCTAGAATAGGGTATAAAAAGCAGCGTCCAAGTATCTTTCAACCGCCAAATTGTGAGAGAGAACTTGTTCAACAGTAGCAATTGCTTTGTCGGTATGTTGAGATCAGGTTTAAGAACGACTTTATGTATTTTACACTGCTACTAATTGAAGTTGAAGGGAAGAAACACAAAGTTAATTTAATACAATTTAAAACTTGTAGGAGGCTGCTATTTTAAGATAATAATAAATATGGTTGAAATTATTTATGTATTCATTTATAGATCTGAAGACGGATTAGTAAATTTTCAAGCACGCTAAGGGTTTCAAATTAGGACCGGGGTAATACCAACTGTCGCAATAAATTATAATTTATTAATAATAAACTTTCTAGAAGTATACGTAGCTAAATTTTATGGCATGTTGCGTCCAAATATAGAATCGTTTTTCAATTAAAAGAAAACAAATATTACTGTAGAAAAACGTGAAGGTATCATGTAGATGTAATACGACAGCGCTAAAGACCTTAGATTAGGTATGCAAGGGAAGATAAAGAAGGGTAAGAGCGAATATAAAGATAGGAGACGACAGATTAGAAGAAGTGACTGATTTTAGGTGTCTTAGGAAGTAACAGGGATGTAAAACAGAGGATAGCGCAAGGTTGAGTTGCCTTCAATAAAAATAAATCAGTTCCATGATCGCGAACAGTTAATTTAAAAATTTGAAAAAGATTGTTAAAGGTGTATGTTTGGAGCGAGGCGCTGTACAGGTGCGAAATATGGACGGCAAGCGCGGCGGAAAAGAAAAGGTTAAAAGCGTTTGAAATGTGGTATTACAGGCGAATGATGAGGATACCGTGGATAGAGAGGGTTAGAGATGAAGAGTTATTAGAAAGAATAGGATAACGGAGGTCTCTATGAAAGTCAATAAGGCGAGAAAGGTTAGCAGAACACCTTCACCAGCATTAAGAGACATATTAGTGGCAGAAACAGGAGTTAAGAGAAGTAGAGGTAGATTTAGATTAGATTAATGACTGCAAACAGTTAAGGATGTGGCATGCTCTAGTTTTAGGGAAATTCGAAGGTTATCTCAGGATAGAAAAGAGTGGTGGTGCATGTTAAATCAATTTAGAGATTGACGACCTTATGATGATGCAGAGTACGTAGTTAATACGCTTCTGACAATGATGAATTCCCTGGATGTAAGTATTAAAAATGGGTTTCTCTCTTAAATATTTGCGTTATTTAACATTTTACCCAGCCTACATTGTTGCTGTCACGCTAAAGCGTATTTAGGATCACATGATGTATATTATCTTCAAGTACAAGTGCAGCAGTGTAGCATACACTGTGTAATAAACCCATTGTTCTAATTAATCACGGAAAAAAGGCCACGCAAGAATGTTTAATACGCAGTAGTTGCCTTCAGTTTCTGCTTGTCGTTGTTTGTGTAATTTGCGTACCTAAGTTGAGCGAATAATAAAAGCTAGATGATACTCCAGAAAATAAGAGGGTTATTGTCGCATAAACTATAAAAAAAGGAATGAAATAGAGAGAGAGAAAATTAGCTGAGTTTTATAACTACAGTCGGGTAAGAGGTAGTTAAAATGATTGTTATAGCAATACTGCAAACTTTTATAAATGCATGAGGTAATGAATGTGCACACTATGAACTAGTAAAGTGTGGGCGGTAGTATACCCGGAATTTTTAAAGTTTATTGAGGTAAAAGAATTTTTGTCAACCATTAAGCTTGGCTGCACTAGATAAGAGTTCAATTAATTTAACTGCTTAAGGTAGTCCGGTAATTAATTTTAAGGATAGTTGAGATAGTTTTAGAACAATAAGGTTAACTTCTCATTTGTTAAAAATTTGAAATATTAAAATA